TCCTGACCCGCCCGCTGCTCCCCTCAGCAGTGTACTTCGTAGATCTGCCTGTTCTGCTCCCCACTCTGTCTCTGGTGAGGCCTCTCACCACCCCTGAGCCTCTGGCCTGTATCCCAGTTCTGTATGCACAAATAAATAAGTCTTTAAAAAAAAATAGACACCTGCACCCCCGTATTTATTGCTGCTTTATTTATAATTGGAAAGACATGGAATGCCCAAAAGTAGATGACTGGATTAAAAAGATGTGTATACATATACACAGTGGAATATTACTCAGCAATAAAAAAAATAAGCACATGCCTTTTGCAGCAACATGGATGGAGCTGGAAAAGATCATGTTTAGTAAAGTTAGCCAGAAAGAAAAGGAAAAACAATGATGGTTTCATTCATAGTAGAAGTATAAAGGACCAGGGGAGAAAATAATAATAAGAAGAAACAGCTATATACCAGAGACATTTTATGGGAGTGGAGTGGGGAATGAGACCAATGATGGGAGTTGGGGGGAATGCACTGGACTATGGTGATGGCACAAAGTAGATTTGGTGACGGGAAGCCCACAGGGATTACAACTGAGATAGAAAAAGGCACAAAATTATGTAAAAAAACCTACTGTATTATTTAAAAAAAAATTCCCATTGCAGTACTAGTTTGGGGAATAATCATCACCCCAGAGCCACCTATCTGAGAATCTGGGAAACTTAGGCTCCCACATTAAAAAAAAGTTAAAAAGAAAAAAATCCATCTCCATAGGTGAAGTTACTGTCCAGCATGTTGTATTACATTGTAACAACCACTTTAACGTATTACTATGTTCAGTTGCTACCTGAAGAAGGATTTTTAAATATTTGGTTGATAAATTTAATTCAGGGTTATGAGTGGCCAAGGGGTGTGAAATTCAGTTATTTGTTTCAAGGAAGTAAAATCTTGCACATTTGAATTTAAAATTCAATGTCCCATAAGATCTATTTGGTGTGATTGTGACCAATTCAACTCAATTTTACAAACACCTGGTAGGCACAATGCTAACTAAGCCAGACACCAAAATCTGAATTGTGATTATAAAGGACATTATTTTCAACATAGGACATGTCTTTACTGCACTGCCTTTACAACCATCATTAAATGACTCAGGGTTGCTTCTACTCTGCTCACGATCCTATCTCCTATGCTCATCCTGTACCTTAAAAATGGCAGGCTTTTATTAAAAACTTGTATTATAATTCTAGCCAGAATACTCAGTCAAAGGTCAAGGGCAGTATCTGAAGGCTAACCCGCAGTAAGTTACCCCAACCCTCAGAAATAGACCAACCAGAATATTTTAGAATTAAACTGGTTTAAAATAAGTATCAATCAGTAATCTGTTTCTTTCTTGAAACTATATTTTTTATTGATGTAATGTTTAATTACAATACTATGCATGATTTAGGGGTATACAGGTTAACTTGAACACTTCAGCATAAGCAGGCTATCTAGTTAATGGTAGAATCTTACTATTCAGATCACGTAATCTCAAATGGGATGAATTTAAATGAATTTAAAAGAGTTACTTGCACTATAAAATGACGTGCCTCATATATAAATGTGGATTATGAAACAGGCTCCTTTCATGGAATGAAGAATCATGAGACCTGCGTTCTTCAGCTTAAAGTTGCTGGACAAACTGACATTGTGGGGAGCATTTGGGGATGACGTGTCCCTCCTGGGGAAAATGGTAAACATTTTACAAGCAAGGCATCATACACTGATCGCCTACCTACCTTTTGAGATTAAGCACCACACCGCTGCCAATTATTACAGAAATGAGACACTTTTAATGTGAAATAGAGAGTGAAAGGGCTACCTATTCATTTCAGAAAGGAGTTTCATTATAACAGAAATTACAGCTAGAATTTCTTTGTTTTTGAGAAAGTCAGAGAATCTGAAGCACTATGGCAGACCACACAAACTACATTTTATAACTGAGGAAAACAGTAAAAAGTCAAGGACAAAAGCTGTTTCAGGAACAGCATTATCAGATGCAGCAGCAAAATTCCAGCACATGAACAAGGACCTTGTACCTATTGGTTATAAATGACATCATGCTTTCTGAAGAATCATGTTCACTTTTCCTATGTCCAGCAAACTGAATAGTCTGGAGCTCCCTCTCCTGGATATTATGACTTTTATCAACCTTGTCCTATAAACCGGAGAGGCAAAATTTACCCACTGAATAAATACTTTCATAGATAATGATGGCCTTTCTTCCTAGGTGAGTGACACTTTTAGTCCACCACATGAAGTCATTTTATTTGGCCACATAATGAGGAGACTCTGACAGATCAAATAAGTTGTTCTCATTAAACACATTACCTTTCGGCTAGAGAAATGACCGTGCTTGGCCAATTTACTGTTAAGTGCTTCGAGGAACATTTCATCGGTCACTTTGCCGACGTTCATGCAGGCGTCATCGAGGATGGGGATGATGCCCTTGTGCTGCTGCTCCACCAGGTCCACAATGATCTGATTGTTGAAGTAATCGATCTGTAGAAAGCAGGTGCAGGCAGTGAGACGCCAATGTCCCCATATAGATCAGGGTCAGTAAGCTACGTGGTAAGTGTCATCCGTAAGGTCTGACACTAAAGTGAGCATGTTAATTTTTAAATTTCTTTGTTAACTTTGTATCATGATACATTTGACATAGATGAGTGTAACTAGGACAAAAAATGGTAAAGTAGACATTTATACTATTACTGATGCCTGTTTTAATTGTCTCTAAATCTTGCACCTAGCCCTACTGCTTCATACTCTCGGCACCCCCAATCTGTTTACCATTAGCCACATGATCCAGATTTCACTGAACAACCACCTTCAACTACTACCTGATATATAACATAATGAGATTAAGTTATTATATAGAACTTGCATTTTTAGTAAAATGGTCTAGATGACTCACATCCAACAGAGCATCTTCTTCACTTTCTCCAAAGTTAAAAAAGCATATATGAATCTAACAGAGTTTTGAAATTTGTTGGGGTACAATATAAAACATTTAATTCTGAGATGTATGTATCTAAAACAGATAACAAGCTTTTCTTTTATTTCCATGAACTGGATGAAGTTGTAATTTCAGGCTTTTAAAAAGCAATTTCAATATACACAGGGTACAAAATTGCTCTTCCACACCTGTTTATTCTGGTGACTAGCAGCACAAAATCAGCACTCACACAGAGAACACACACTAGCCAGACTCAGGAAAGCTGTATAGCATCTAAATATGGGCAAATTATTATACATAGAATCCTATGTGCTGATGAACCCCATCTCACTTAGACATGAAATGCATGTAGATTTATACAGATACCTAAACTGAGAGTTGTCTCCCTTGCCTTCTGTAAGACCTAGACCCTCATAACAGGCTATTAAAGTGCTTGCATATTCCAGTCCCATGCTCTTTAACATTCAACGAGCCAGGCCAGTTGTTTGTTTGTGGCTTTCAGCTTCATACCTCGCCTTCCAACTTCTCTTTCCATGGGCTGATGTCTGCAAACTGGGTGGCTTTTACATTCTTTTTAATACTTTTCTGTTTTGCCTAAATCAGCGATTCACAGAAGCCGACTGTGCTCCTCCCAACCCCTACTGGGGTACTTGGCAATGTCTGCAGACAAACTTTGATCCTCGAGACTAGAGTTACTGGCATGCAGTGGGTGGAGGCCAGGGATCAGCATCAACAGAGCACAGACTCCCACAGCAAAGAACTTACTATCACCCAAGATGTGAGTAGTACAGGGGTGGGGAAGACCTGGTCTGAACGTTTACCTTTACTGTGAACATGGACACATTTCTAATTAGGGAGAGAGCACTACGATTTTTGTCCTAAGCACAAAAGAATGAAGTTTCCTAAAATTCTAATTGTATTACTAAAAGCCACTAATTTTTGCTGAAGAATCTAGTAACTTTTAATTTGGAAGCTAATGTGGCTTCAAATATTACTTGAAGTAGTGGTTTTCAAACCAGTTTCTTTCAGCAAACTGGCATTCCCAGCAGATTTCTTTGGATTATAGCGGCAAGGAGAGACGTGGTAGGGTGGATCGCATTAGGCCTCACTCCCTCACTGAGCAGTGTTCTGCTTGCGTCAATATATAGCTAAAAAGGACTTAGAAAGTACAGTGCTAAAAGTCTTAAAAAGTGAACCATTAAAGAGGCGATTGAACGTTATTAACCTGATGAGGCTAACGTGTCAGTTCACATACCACCTATGAAACAGACTGACAAAAAAAAAATACTGATCCCGAATCCAGTCAGGACTCCAAGTCTAACAGCCAATATACAGAACACACAAGGAACCTCTTCTGCATTAGATGACATCTCAGGAATCTGACAACAAAATCCAGGCTGTAGGAAACTCTACAGAGCAAATGATTTGTTCTTTTCAACAAAAGATTACAAGAGAAAAAGAGACAGATGGAAGAGAAAAATCTACACATAGGCAAGAAACCTACTAACCAACCTGATTATGGTTTCTGATTTGAAACCATAATCAAATTGTGAAAATAAAAAAGCTGTAAGACAATTGAGGAAATATTAAAATGTGAACACTGAATGGATGTATATTTGGTAACATTAATTACTGATATATATATATTTTCAATGTGATAGTGGTGTTAATGTTTCTGCAAAGTTCTTTATTCTTTAAAAGTAAAAGCAGTGGAGTACTTAGAGATGAAACAATACAGTGTCTGAGATTGCTTTGCAGTAAACCTGGGGGTGGATGAGTAGGGTACAGAAGACCGTAAGTCACGGACAACTATTGATGTCAGTGGTTTTTTTGTATTGTTGCCTCCGCTCTTATGTATGTTCAAAATTTTCCATGAGAAATTAACAAAAATAATTAGATACTATATTCAGAAGTCTGAGGCATTTAAAGGAAATACTTGCCCAGATTCTATCTAATTTGGGGGCCTTGGCATATAGTCTTGTAACTATTATCTTGGCTTCTATTTCCTCTAGGACACATATTTCTTGGTTTATTTCACTAAGAATTTTTTTGCATTTTTTTTTGTTTTTTTATCCCTTTTTCAGATGTTTGGAATAGTTTGCTATAGTTGATTTTTCCCTTTATCAACTATGCCTGTGGAATTTGATATTCTGATTGTTAGACTATTTTTGGTCAGAATCTCTGGGTTACATCTGAACACACGTTTTGTAATTATTTGCTGCAAAAAAATTTAAGCTTCGGTTATAATTGTATATTATACAATAGATTCATTTTAAGAAAACGGCATGTATGTTTAATTAAATACATCTTAATGTGCTGTAGGAGTTGTTCACCATTTAAATCAAAATTATAGGTAATCAATTATAAAGTAGTAATGCAACCTTTGGTTTACTTGTAAGAATATACTTGAAATTTTAAAATTTTTTATTTGCAATAATACAGCAAAAAATTTGTTTTTGTTATTCTAATATTTAACACATAGTGGAAAGCAAAGATGCAATTTGACGCAAGGAAGTGATTTAATACACCACTGCCTCCTTTTTCTGAATGAGAGCAAACAATTCACAGAGAACCAGGAGAGATGCGACATCTGTACTGTGTCACAGATAAATAAGAATATAAAAACAGAAGACAGGTGTTTTCACGAATGGGTACCAGAGGATATGAAAATTAACTGAAGACAATAAAGACACCATTTATTTTACACAGAAGAAGAAGAGGAGAAAAAAGAAAAAAACAAGAGGGAGAACAAACTGACTCTGGAAGCAAAGCTCAGTCAATTTAACGCAGAAGCTGCTACTCTGAAGATCTTCCAGAAGGATGCTCAACACTGACAGAATGAACCAGAAAACCCACACATGGAAATGTTAAGATTGCTGATTATAACTCAGCATTTTCTGGGCACTAACAAGGGCACCTTTCTAATTACAGAAACCCCACATACAGTCCTGAAAAAAAATTCTATTTACATTGAAAGGAAAGTCAGATGCTTCGAGCACCCAAGAAGGGTATATAAAAAAATTAAAATGTTAACACTTGATGTTCTCAATAAGACACGAACCACATGGAGACATTTCCCACCAGACCTACTCACGTGCTTCCAAGGGATTCCTTCCCGCTGGTATTCCTCTTGTTCCTGCTTCAGAACCAGCTGTATAAATAGCTGTTGCAGTTTCTCATTGCAGTAATTGATGCAGAATTGTTCAAAGCTGAAAGAAAAGGGAATAGATTAGGCTTAAAGAAATAACAAAAACAAATACTGGGGCTTTAAGTATCTTATTTAGTTTACCTGTTGTTGTCGAAGATTTCAAAGCCATAGATATCTAGGACACCAATAACAGTGTTTTTCCCATGGATGGTGGTGTTGTAATTCTTGACCTCAATAATATCATTGATGCGGGTAACAATCCAACAAAATAGGCGCTCGTATATTGCCTGTGAAGAAAATAACATCGTAAATTTTTGCTCATTTGGGAATGAAGTCTCTGTTTAGATTGGCGAGAGAAGTTTTAAATTCCTATCTATCTTTTCCTTACTGCTTAGCATAGCTGTTATTACCCTAAGCAGAAGAATTAGAAATGCAAACCATCTGTTAAAATAACTATGTGAGGTACGCAAGACTGAAGTAAACAGTTGGGATTTTTAGATTACTGTACGTTACTACACACACTGCAGGCCAACATCATTCCAACAACATTCCCCAGGTATGTTTCTGCTTCGTGTCCAGCGATGGCAATAATTTGCCTCCTTCCTCTTTCAGTTTAATTCATTGCTGAATTGTTAATTTCATCAACTATATAAAGTGGGGAACCTATGGATGAATATGTGTGCTCCATTTAAGCTCTATCGGTTCTATGAAGCACAAACCCAGTGCACAAGGGTGCACATGCCAAGACACACCTGGAGAAAGGCGCCAACACCTGCACATCCTGGTATCACATGCTCTACCACACCAGGCTTTAGAAAGCCCTTCCCTGTGGCCTCCCTCTAGCCACCCGCCGTGTCCACCTATACACAGCGTCTCATATTTCAACCCTCTCTGCTCCCCAACTGTTCAGTATTCTCTTATCATCCTCTGCTCCACTGAGATGGTTTGTCAGAGACCCCAATATTGCTACACACTGTCTTGTTCCTCAATGTGGACATCTACCTTGGAAATTCAGCTTTGCTCAAACTAGTTTCCAACTCTTTCCTCATGAAGTTCTTCTTTATGCGATTCATGATAGCAAGCTGTTGTAACCCTCTCCTAATTCTGCCACCTGCTACTTCTTGGTGACTTTTATTGGGGTGACCCACCTGCCTCCATCTGACTTCTCATAGCTGGAGAACCTGCTGGCGCTCATTTCTTCACTCTGACACCTCCTGAGACATACTGTCCAATACTAAATAGTAACCTGATAGCATTCCCTGAAGAATTACCCCAATACAGACCTCTCCTCTGAGTTCAGACTCATATTCCTCATTGCCCACCTGACACACCCTTAGGTGTCTCCCTACCATCTCAAACTGGAGTCCAGTTAGGGCTCTTAATCTTCCATCGTCCACTTTTGTTCCTGGCCTACTTTTAACCAGGACTAAATGGCATCAGAAACTTAGAACTATACTTACTCAGTGAATAAATATTTGTTGAGTATTAGCTACACATAGTTGGTTAGATAAACAATATTAAGTAAACACAAACATGGCTTCATTCTCCAAGGAGCTTACAGAGTAGGGAAAAGGGGGAAAAAATCAAACACACAGAAATTACTAATTGTGAGGTGCATGTGTTCTGAGGTGACTTTAATCTTTTCAGTGTTCAGAGGGGTCAGGGGAAGCTTCCCTGAGAAAGTAAGCTGAGGCTTTAGGAGGATGCCTAAGAGTTAATCAGGCAAGAGGGTAGGAAAAAAGGTACAGAGTGTTAGAGGATAAAAGGGATGAAAATAATGTAATAATGTAAGGCCTGAAAGACTAATGCACTCAAGAGGAGGCTGGAATATGGTATGAAATAAGACAGAAGGGGTAGGTGGGAGTGAAACCAGATTAAGGGCCTATCCTCGTTTCCCCTAAGAGCTCCTGTGGATTTTATTATCCAAATATCATCCATCTCAACTAATCCTCTTTTCCCCATTTCCACTGTTACCTTTCTAATCATAGCTTCCATCATTTCTCTCCTAATTTCAATTACCAGATAACTGAAATATCCTCTTAAGAGTTCTCCTTGCTTCTACTCTCTTGCCCTATGTCCCCTATGAGAGTCCCTGTACTAGGGCCAGAGTGGATGTTTTAAATTTTTAATCTTGATGTTCCTGCCCCTATTTAAAATTCTCCAAGCACTCTCCATTGGACTTGGATAAATTCGAATGTCACTGAAGACCAAAAAGCAAACCTGAGACAAGAGTAAGAAATGGGATGTGTAACAATCTAATCAACCAACAATAAAAATGTTATGCTCAGGGAAAATAAACACACCTGCCACGCAGGTAATGAAGGGTGTAAGGTCTAAGCACTTAAAATTGAGAATAGGGCCCTCCCTGGTGGTGCAGTGGGTTAAAGCACAGCACTGCGAATCTAAAGCCACTTCAGCATGAGTAGATCCCTGCCCAGGAGGTGACCACATGGCACAGCAGACCTCTCCTGGCCCGCCCACTGCTCCCCTCAGCAGTGTACTTCATCAATCTGCCTTTTCTGCTCCCCACTCTGTCTCTGATGAGTCCTCTCATTGCCCCTGTACCTCTGGCCTGTACCCAGAGGTTCTGTATGCACAAATAAATAAATGTTAAAAAAATAAAATTATGAAAAGATGTCCAAACACACTAGTAATAAAAATTAACCATGAATTACTACTGTGCATGACATCTGTAAATTTAAAGTTTAAAATCAGTATACTCTCTGGCCCCGCCAGCTCATTCTTGGGGGCCCATCCAAGTGAAATAAAGGCACTGGACTAGAAGAATGCTCAAGAGTTTGTAGCATTTTCTGCAGCGGCAAAAAGAGAAGCAAGGTGAATGACTCCAGAGGTGGACGGTTAATAAATTCTGGTGTCACCACTCCACACAGCTGCTAAAAGACTCAGAATGCAGCCAGTCAGCTTGGAGACAACTCTGCAAAGCATTTGTGAGCGAGGGAAGCAGCATGACCACAAGGGGGCCTGAGAAGAAGTGTCACTGGCGTCTGTTTTTCTCAGAATGTCTCTGGCAAGGCGGCTCACAACCAGGGGGTCTGAACGAGACTGCGAATGACCGAAATGTGTCATCACAGTTTCGAATAGCCTTGACCTGGTCCAGGAACATCTGAACACCCCTCAGAGAACTTCACTGCGACAGCGTGGAAGCTCAAGGCCAGCCGACTGCGTGGGCTGCAACCACACCTTGGCAAAGGCGTCCCTGCCGTAGCTGGCCTCTTGCTCTGTGTGCTGCTTGTCGATGATGTCTCGCCCGGTGGCCACGGTCCGGTACAGGAGGGCCTTCTCCACCATGTCCGTCTTGGTTGACAGCAACTCTGCGATGATGGACACGAGCTTGCTATTTTCAATGAAAGGCGTGTCGCCATCCACTACAAATTTTAGATTTCCCTATACCAAGAGTGGAAAAGCAAAACATCATGTCCGATGACATTCCGAGACAGATCCGAGAGAGAATTCATAACGGAACATAATCCGAGCGACCCTGTTTGCAGTTCCTATTTTCCTAAATATATTACATACATCTCTCACAGACAAGAGCCTAACACTTCACTTGTTTTTCCCTCTTCTCCAGACTTTTACCTATTTTTATTTGCTGAGAGTGTTTCTGATGAACACAGGTATGACATTGCTCTAGTCAAATTTATGAACCTTTGCTTTAGGGTTTCTCACAACCATTCCTACTCCAAATGTTTCATGAGTATTTAATGTTTTCTTACATTTAAGCTTGTAATTCACCTAGAATTTATTTTGGCATGTGGTACAAAGTAAGACTCTAACCTTATTTGTCCAGATGGTTGGTTAGCTGCTCGAATTTCACATAATACTCTCGTTTATCCCTCCTGATTTGAAATATCACCTCTATTATATAATAAATTCCCCAAAATTTCTGAGTCTGTTCATATTCCACAGCCATAAATACTTCTTAGCCATCTACTCAGTGTCCAGCACATCCACTAACATGGTGGATTTTAAAGTAGGATCACTTTTGGTGCCATTTTAAATTTGGTCAACCAGTCATGTCTCTTCTTCCTACTTGCTCCAGGCTGCTAGTCCTATTTATCTGATCATCTTAAGTGCTTATTGTTCCAGGTAATTTTATTGCCATTATGTCAACTTAAGGACAAAAATTCTGCTTGGATTATGAAGGGTACTGCTGTGCTGTGTGTATAAACTAGTTCAAAGAGTGAATGCAATTTAAAATATAAAGGCTTCCTTTTCAGGAACATTTTTTATTTTGCTGTATAAAGTTTTCATTATAGGTCCTGCACAGTTCTGATTCATTTACAGTTAGATCTCACTACATTAAAGTGAAAAATAATTTTTATTCCAGATTTGAATTCACATCATCACTTATTTATTGTAAGGTTACATGGTCATTATAGTTTAAACATCTCTAATTATATAAATAGTAAGGAAGGAAATCTGACACATGGTTCTTTAGTTCTTCTGAGTTCAGTGTGGTGTAGTGGAAATTAACTGGACCAGTAAGCCAGGCTGCGTGGTGCGCAGCGCTGGCAGCTATGAGCTGGCTGTGCCTTTACTCAGTCCAGCCACCCTGAGGGCCAATCTCCCACCTTGTGAAACAAAATGATCTGTGTGCCAGTCCTAATAATCGATGACCCTATGCCACTAGGGCCTTATTCTTTGCCAAAGGCTTTATTTATAGTGTTGGCAGTCACATCACTGGTAATTCCTTCATCCTTGACACAAACCAGTTCAGTCTGGCGTACCAATAAAACAACTAACTGAAAGCTATAGTCTCACAACCTACAATGGCTTGGAAAATCATTCATGATATATAAAATGATGGCGAGAACTACTGACACAAAATTTCTTTAAAACATGGCAGAAATTTTCTCTACCTAAGTTACATTTTAAGTCTACAGAGGAAAAATGAACTCTTCTGAAAGAGCATCCTGTCTCCACAGGGAGGCAATACCTCTGTAAGGTGTCCCCACTCACCAGGTGAAGAATAGAAGCCAGAATTTTATACACCGTTTGAATCTCCGCAGGTGTGAAGCCAATGACTTTCATGGCATCAGCTACTACTTTGAAATCTGCAGCATCATTGATAGAAGACTAGGGATACAAATGGAAAACTTTAGCCACAGACATTTCAGATGGTCATTAAAATGTAACAATTATGACACTAAATTCAAGGTTAGCCAAGATCTTACAGCTTTTGTAGTAAGTCATTGGGGAGTGATGAATCTTCACAGAAAACAAAAATGACACCAGGGGCAGAAACATCATTCAGAGCCCTTTCATGCGAGAGCCACCTTCATCCAAAAGAAGCACCGCCCACTTCTCTGGAGCAGGCAGTGCATGGGTGGGGGTAGTGGGGAGCAGGTTGGGGCTGGCCGAAGACGCACACACCACTGTGACAAAGGAAGCAGCAGGGACCTGAGCTCACGCATGGGGACTCTGACTGTGGGAGCTTCTGAAACTCATGCCTGCCTTTGTCATCTGTGGCACTGTGTTCCACAATTGATCTGTGGAGGCTGGGAACAGCTCTCCTGTTCTTGCATGGTCAGGTTTTTTTTATCTTACAGGTGAGGAGCAAAAACAAGCTCCTAAAGGCAAAGTGGAAAGCCTCATCATGCCAGATAATTTGGTACTATGACTTCACTTTTTCATTCTCTCAATAAATAGTTGGTGTATCTGATGTCCTACTGTCATGGAGTGGGGATGTCACAGACTGAATATTTGTGTCCCTCCGAAATACTCAGGTTGAAATCCTAGCCTCCAGGGTGATGTTATCAGGAGGTAGAGTCTCTGGGAGGTGGTCATGAAGGGAGAGTCCTCATGAACAGGATCAGTGACCTTATAAAGATGACCCCGAAAGGCACCCTGTTGTCCCTTCTGCTCTGTGAGGACACAGCAAAAGGGCACCACCCCAAGCAGAAAGCAGGCCCTCACCAGACATTGTACCTGCCAGAGCCTAGGTTTTGGACTCCCAGATTCCCAGAACTGTAAGAACCCAGTTGATGGCATTTTTGTTGTAGCAAAAGGGAGAAAGATAGATTCAAAGCTATGCCACCTGCCTTAAGGAACTATAGCCATCAGGTTGAAACTAGAATTTCAACAGAAATTCACAATAAAGCAATTGATAGCTGCTTAGCTTAGATCATGCAGAAGTTTCAAAGGGCCTGACTGATCCTATCTTTGGTGAGCTTCTCCTCTACCCAAGACACAGAGACCTGGCCTGATGTTCAGCCACTAAAGGACAAAGGAAGGGTCCTTTCTGCTGAGAAGCACCTACTTCTCTAGTGTGCAGGACAAAACCAGGCAAGACCTTCTACCACCAGTGCTTTGACCTGGGGCAAAAGACTTAACCTTGTGGCACTGCAGTTTCCTCATGGCTGAAACGGTCATCCTGATACATTTTTTATAGAGTTGTAAAAACTGAGTGAGTTTTTCTATAAATGCTCAAAAGTGCCTTTCTTGTTCCTAGCACACAAAAGCACTTAATAAGCATCACTTATTACTGTATTTATAAACTGCAACCAAAGAAACTGAGTAATAAAATATAAATGTCCTACTGTGGGGAATTGCTGGCTGTTTACCTAATGGCCACGTCACCCCTACTCCTTTCTTGCTGACAGAGCCCTGACCTGTTTTCCTCTCTCCAAATACGTACATGTGTCCTTCAGGGTGCCCCTCTGCACCCCCTCCCTGCTCAGGAGGTAAATCTTCATTGGCCTTAATTAATCACAGTGATTGATCTTACTCCTCTTACCACGTACCTGGTTAGCTGTGCGCACGGGATGCCATTCTGATCAGTAAGACAAGCTTATAAAGAAAACACAGCCAGGAACGTTTCTTCCTATGACTCTTGGAACTGCTGCTGCCATTTTGGGACTGTGGGAAAGTCAGCCTAGGAGGGCAGGCCAATTCCACAAGAATGGCAGAGTTTTAAGGTGAGGAAATAAATAAGCAAATATATGGGTCCCATCAACTCTGGTAGGGCTCTGAATTTATCAGCTCTGGGACTGCCTCATCATAGAGTTTCTTGTCACATGAGAAAATTAAGTTCCTTACTGTCTCTGGAGACTTTTAACTGAATCTTATCTTAGCTGCTCAAGTGTCTTATTGTATATCATTTCTGTATTTTAGAACAATTAAATATAATTATTACACATACAGTGTAACACTTCAGAGTTATTTATGCTATTAGTTAATTATTCTATTAATCTTTATTTGCTTACATGGGAGGATATTGATGACTGTCAGAATTTCTTAAGAGAAGAGTTATTTAATCAGGATGCATTGTACAATTCCCTTTATAAATAGATATGCATAAACCATTATCAGTAATTATCTCTGAGTGGTAAGTTTTAGTGCCCTTTTGTTTCCTCTGGGTTCATTTCTATTTTAGGTTTTAAATATGATCATGTCTTCTTTTGTTGTTTTCTTTAAAGATGAAGGAAAAAAGTGGGAGGGGAAGAGGAATGGAAAACTTCAATGAAAAGGGAACCTAAGCTAAATTTAATTTAGACAAAAAGCTAAATGTTCATTGAAGACTTGCTTTTTGTGGGCACTCTGCATGATCTGGCCACAAGTAATTTGGTCAGTAAGACAATTTGATTAAAAAGGGATATTTCCAGTTACAACCTTTTTTTAAAGTGTTGTTTATATGATCCCTTCATGCTTCTCCAAATATTTCTGACCTATTCTCAGAAAACTGGAGTGCTGCCCTCTATTGTTTTATCTTCAATTAATTTCCAGCCAAAATTCTTGCTCTCACATAATAAAAGTAAAAATAATAATGCAAGCTAAATATCAAACAATGGAAAATAGCAATTTTTTCAATTTATCATTTATTTCCACGCACAACAATGAAAATGCAGCTAAGCCAGTAATGCAGATATAATTCATTTAAGATAAAAAATAAAATAAAAAAAAAAACTTTATAATAGGCCCTCCCCGGTGGCGCAGCGGGTTAAAGCACAGCACTAAGAAGCTTAAGCCACTTCTGCATGAGTTCGATTCCTGCCTGTCCTGAAGGAGATCCACATGGCGTGGCAGACCTCTCCTGACCTGCCTTCTGCTCCCCTCAGCAGTGTACTTCGTCCATCTGCCTATTCTGCTCCCCACTCTGTCTCTGGTGAATCCTCTCACCGCCCCGCACCTCTGGCCTGTACCCCAGTTCTGTATGTATAAATAAATAAATCTTTAAAAAAATTTTTATAGTAGTTTATTTTTACATATTTTTGTGCATTTTTCCATCTCAGTTGCAATCCCCCTGGGTTTCCCATCACCAAATCACCCATGTGCCATCACCATAGAAAAAATACATTTTTTAAAGGAAAGAGACACTGCCCACATCTTAAATCTTTTCTCTTATTAGTTTCTTTTATTCCTTCCCCCATCCCACAACTGCAAAATTAATGCATTTTTGATTATGGATAAAATTTAAATTATGGAAAAACAGAACACAAATACCTATAATCACATTCATCCAGAATAATTAAAATCATGGTCTAGATCCTTCCATGTCTTATGCATTTTATATTTTTCCTCCAGGAAAATAGGACAATGCTGTAATTACTATTTAATAACTTACCATATGTAGTCTGCAATGAAATGGCTAGCAGAAAATTAATAAGAAATAAAAGAGAAAGGCTTTTGCCTATGTGGATGTGGTGGCTCACAGACCGGAGAAAGGGTAAATCTGAAAGCTGAATAGGAGTGCTCCCAGGGTCACAAAACTATCTCTAGGCTATTTCAAGATCAGTATTTGAAAAAATAGTGAAAGGAGATCTTTGATATTTGTATTCAACCAAAGTGCTTTTTAATTTTCTTTTATCTTACCAACTTGCCTTTGGCCAACTCATATGGTGTCTTCTTTCAAGATGAATTTCCTAGTCATATCAATATTTTTATGGGGCCAAAATAAAAGGGACAGATTAAAATGAAAAGATAAGACAAGATCACAGGGAAAATGTCTTCCCTGTCAGATGGTGATAAAATAGAATAATGGGGTATTAAACAAATGTGTTGAGTCATTAATTTATTTCTGCCCCTAAGAATTTAAAAAATAGAATGGAATCAGAGAATTCTTTCTTTGCCTCAAGGCAGAAGGCTAGACCACACAATTAATGCCCTTTTGGATTCTTTCTTTGATTCTCTACGTAGGTGCTCTCCAAGAGGAAATGCTCACCTTTAATTGAGCTCCTATACGGATGTAGTTGTAGGATGAGAGGGTCTTCTGAAGGTGAAGAGAGCGTAGCATCTGCTCTGAACCTCCTTGGAGAAGCTGAAAAATATGGAAATAAAAATAAATTGACAAAATACATACTGAACCAAAGAGGGCAAATATTCTGATTTAATGATAATTTTGCTTTTATTAATTTCCTGGGCTCAATTCAAAAAGGTCCTCTTAATTTAGCATTAAAGGATATTTTTCTTTACAACCTGAAGTAAATGGCTTCACTGACATCAGTCACGGGAAATGTTACGCAGTCATAAAGAAAACACCTAAGAAGGTTGAGCTCTTGCATAACTGGCATAAAAGGCTCCTCCTTTTACTATGGTCACGTGTAAAAGGAGTCTATGCTCTGTGGTGGTCACCTGATTAGCAGCTTCCTTATCCAGACAGGATAGAGCTGCTTCAACACTGCCAGAGAGTCAGAGGTATCAGCAGACAGTCACATGGTGAATCACAGTAGATACACAACTTTTCCTCACCAAAACCTCTCTTGGGATGAGGCCCCTGAGTAACCATGACTGCAGTTAGACAAAGACTAATGTTACCATGTTTAGGCAAGTGACTAAAACATTGGAAAAGAGTTATGTGTTCTTGAAATAAACAGAACTCTTTCATTCTTTGGTGGGAAAATGGTTTACTGAAAGCATGGTAAACTGTCAACAAAGTCACAATATATGTATGTATAGCCCCATTTATACAAAATGCCTTGGAACACACTGCATTTAAAACACTAATCTGTACACTTTGCTTTACTTAAAAGGTGTAATTGTGACATTTTAAAATTGAGCCAAATATACCAGAATTTATCTATACCCATGAGCAGTGTTTATGAAAGCAGCTACCCAGGAGAAACAGCTGAATGGTATTCAAATTACACTACAGTCACCTCCAGTGTCAGGTTACACTCAGAAATCAATCTCACTTTTCAAAAATCCAAAATTGCAGTGCTTAATCTGATCACTCATTTTGTTCATCTTGGTTTATATTACCTTGGGCTTCAAAAAAATTATAAAAATATATCAAACAAGTGATAAGACGTAACAGGAGGGCTATTTTAAGATTCTGCTTAGATTCTAAAAGTATGACCAAAAGACATATTGAAAATGTTTTCCCTAAGCAATCACAGCTTTGCATAGATACAGACAATTCTTCCTTGCATTCACACATCTTGGTTATTTTTTTAAAGTAATCCTGTTGCTCTTGGAACTTCAGAAGCACATGGGAAGGGTGTGTGCTCATAAGTGCAGTGTCCTGGGAGGCACAGGAAAAGGATGGGACCCAATATGAAAACATTCATTTCCTGAGCAAATAATTGGTCATCTGCACAACAGCAGATTACTAACCTGATAGAAAGAATGGAAGCTTCTTTCTCCTGGCTGTTGCACAATCACTCGAGACTAAGACAAAACACATTAAAAGAGTTAATCTGAGAATGTACCTCTAAAATAAAATGGAAGCTTCTTTTCAGAAATCCTACATGAACAGTGCATTCACACTCCCTAAAAGCCCCATGGATAATACTAACCACCTCTGTGGGGCTTTCTGTGTAATTTTCTGATTATGTTTTTTACTGTTTAACACAGAATTCCCTAAACACTCAGAGAAAGATGCTGTTTTGATTTTTTTTTTTAACCTGAAACCTAATAGAACATTTCTTAAGAGGAAGGAATTGGAAGTGGAGAGAAACAGGAAGGAATGTTAAGGAGAAATATTTTCAACTTTCCCTTCTCCAGAGTCTGCTGGAATTTTAAAGAGCACTGTCACATCCTATAATAAAATCAGTTGAGTAAGATCTATCAATAGAGACCTCTGTCTTTGATGGCTTCAAAAAGACTGCAATTTAAGAGGGCTCAAAATGTATGTTCATTCCAAGGATCCTTTCTACTGAGTATGTATATAAAGTGAAGTCATAACATTTTAGAAAAAAAGATTGAAAATAACTGGCCTTTTGTCCTTCCTTTTTTCAACTGACTTTAATAAAAAATGTATTTTTCTAAGAATCTTTTATTTAACAAAAAAATAAATAAATAAAGATTACACTATATTATGCTGCCAGGAAGGATGCAGTGACATGACTGGGATGGGAAATCCTTAACTGCAAAGGCAAGTCAACTTTGAACCAAGGAAAATTCCAGATGGAGACTTAACGTGGGAAAGAGCAATCTTAGATGCAAAACCAGGCAAGTGAACTCTGAGTACTCTCTTATAATTAAGATCAGTTAGGATGCAAACTTTCTGGCAGTCCCAAGAGGGAAAGTTTAATTGAAATCTACACGTCAGGTCTAATGTTCATACAGGCAAATAAAAGGATATTCTATTTCACTGACCCAATGCAGTGTGCTTTGCATTCAGTTCTGATCACAAGATCCACTGATGTTACTATTATTATAAAGCAGTGAACAGAAACTAGAAGGAACTGAGATTTGAAATAAATTAAAATGAAAACAGATGGGAGATGGTGATACTGAAAAAGTAAAACTGGTTAGTGCTAGGTGGAATTCATAGCTTTTTCCAACTTGATACTCCAAATACTAATAAAAGACACTAAAGGAGAATCTTGTCACTGAAAGATAATTGAAGTGCAAAAGGGAGAAGAAGATGAAAAGTTACTTTAAAACAATATAAGAAATTCTATAAATATAATCAGATTTTTAAAAAATACTTTCAGTGTTCATAAACATTACCCTCAGAAACTAAGCAGATTTTACCTTCTCCAGTAAGTAGTTATTGATATGTCCTCCAATAGGGTCTCCCTTGAAATCAAAGTTGATATCCATGTATTTCCCAAACCTGCTTGAGTTGTCATTGCGATTGGTTTTGGCATTTCCAAAAGCTTCTAAGACACAGTTGGACTTTAGCAGCATATTCTTCACTCTTTAACCAGAAAACGAAAATCACTGTAAGATGTGTGAGACTGGGATTTTTAAAAAATGGAATTTGCAATAAAACATACAAATATTTATGCAGGCTACAGTATTTTTGCAAAAAACCAAAATCTGAGTGTCAACCAACAGGGACACTTCCACTCATGACTGAAAATAAACTTTTGTTTCCTAGTAATGTGTACTGACAGAGATGTCCAGCATACAGTAGCGAATGAGAAGATGCAAATAGTATGTACTGCAAGGTCTTTGTGTGTGAATGTGTACACATATGTACAAGCATGTGTGGGTTACTAAATGTGTGGGAGCCTGATGGGGTCACACTTCCATGGCTGACTCAGGGAGCTTTAGCCTTCAACATAATGCTCCAAGTGTTAGCTTTTTAAATGAACATTTTATTTACACAAGGATGAATCTGGAAAAGAAATAATGAGTGTTACAGAAAATGATATTATTGTTATAGCACTTGTTTATAAAGCCTGTACTAGTAAGATTTATTAGCGATACATCATAAATGTGATTTTTATCAGTTTAGAGACTGCTCATTGTTTTGTTTGAAGCTCTGTGGAATCTCTTTATCAGCTCTTTAAAAAAAGAACGTTAACTTACTGAGTGATTACTATGTGCCAGGACCTTACAGCCCCAGAAAGTACAAACCAGCTTTATTGCTCATCTGACTGTGAGCAGCAGCATGGTGTGGCAATGGCAGCCTTTGAGAAAATGAATCCTAGCCAGAGCTTCCGATATCAGGAGTTCTGGTTGTGATAAAGTGGGCAGTGTGGCTCCGTAGCTCACACCCCCCTATACTCTAGGGAACCTAGAGCTCCCCAGGCAGAACTCTGAAAAGACATTGGTGCAGTGGAAGAGAAGTTGGACAATAAAACCTACCAATCTAATTTGCCGACCGCCATCTAACATTTAAGGCAGCAGTTGTAAACTGGAATTGAGAATTTTCATTTGTTTTGGAATAATTTTATTTTGTTCTATATTTAGATAATGCTTACTATAGTAGTAAGATTTCTGCAACAAAAACAAATTCAGCAGAATTATATAAATAAAAGTACAAAAACAGTAAGCAAAAAAGAATCGAAGTAATTTCATCATCAATAAATGCTTGAAACACATACGTTTAGGCCTAGCCAGGTCTATACAGAAAATGAGGTTCCCTGCTCCCCTCCCCTCCCTTCCCCCAGAGGCACTTACCGTTCAACCTCTGCTCTCTGGCTGGGGTTGGTGATGGCTGCAATGTAGTGCATGATGTACTTACTGGCTTCAGTTTTACCAGCTCCACTTTCCCCTGGTGGAAAAAGTTGTGCAAATTGAACATTATAACTTAAACTAAGAGTCAATTTTTCTTTTTTCCCCAGGTTTATTTATTCATATAAAAACTGGAACAGACACCAGAGTTGGGGGGTGAGAGGATTCACCAGAGACAGAGTAGGGAGCAGAACAGGCAGATCAACTGAAATACACTGCTGACGGGAACAGCAGGCGAGACAGGAGAGGCCTGCTGTGCCATGTGGGTCAGCTCCCTGGCTGGGGATCCAACTCAAGTTGCAGTAGATGCCGGCAGCCTCATAGAGCTGTGCTTTAACCCACTGAGCCACCAGGGAGGGCCCAAGAGTCAGCTAATTTCTAATAGAATAATTTAAATTTTGATGTTACTTAAGAACCTTTGGGTTTCACTGTCTGCACTTTTGGATTTTGTTCCCCCCATTGTGATACAGCACTTGGTGTGCACACATCTGAGCATGGAAAAAAGGGAGGCTGCTGAAGAAGTACAAGGCAAGATTTAGTTAGTGAAAAGTATTAAGGGACAAAATGTGATTAATTCTGCAGACTAAAGTCCTAGAACTTGGTGGTGACTTAACCATACTGCAAAACAGAAATGAGTGATTCAAACAGTTAAGTTCATAAAACCTTATCTTCTGTAACAGAATTTCTTTTAATCTTTTAATAAGAATGAAGTGACTTTTTTTTTTAAGATTTATTTATTTGTGCATACAAAACTGGGGTACAGGCCCGAGGCAGTGAGAGGCTTCACCAGAGACAGAGTGGGGAACAGAACAGGCAGACTGATGAAGTACACTGCTGAGGGGAGCAGCGGGCGGGTCAGGAGAGGTCTGCCACACCATGTGGTCACCTCCCAGGCAGGCGGGAATTGAACTCATGCTGAAGCAGCTTTTAGATTCTCAGTACTGTGCTTTAACCCACTGCGCCACCAGGGAGGGCCAAGAATGAAGTGACTTTTTCAAGGAAATTGAAGTTAGTGTGATTTTAGTGAAGAAACAAAACAGTGGGTTCCAGGATGTTGGAAAAGCATCACAACTGGTGTAAGAAGGAAAGATGAGATAAGAAGGAAGATGAGGATCAATATGTTAAGTGTCTACCCAAATTTTCAGTGTTTGTCTCCCGACCCAAAAACTCTACCAGTAGCAATTAAATATTATGGAAATACCAAAAAAAAATAGCTAACAATAATCTTTAAAGGTATTAAGATAATTTCTGTAGACTGCACTTTGTGTCATGGTTAAAATCTGAAAATGATACTGCCGATCAGTAAAGGACTAGGTGAACGTGTCACTATGTGACAGACTACTATATAAGCATAAAAGAGAAACACCACTGCCACAGGTACTTGAACGTACCTGTGTATTTTTAAAAGGTAAAACAAATTATATGATGCCCATTATAATTCCATAATTATACCCTTATAATTGCATGCCAATGTGTATTTATGTTATACACTTGCACATGCAGAGCAGATGTGCTATCTGCTGCTACTGATGGATTTCATACTGAAATAATAATAGCCAAGGCAAAGGGACTTTCTGCTTTTGCTTTATACCACTTCACATAATTGTTGGCTCTTTCCTAACCTCCCCAGCCCTTATAACCAGTAAAGATGGCTTTCCTAACTTGTCTTAATAAAATTACCCTTAGTGCATGACTCTTTAACTCCAACATTAAGTGTAGCTGTTCAATTCCTCTGACCTTTCATAATTTCACCTATAAGATACAAACACAACTCTTCTACTTAACATTTAGAAACTTGTTTTGATAGACCCTCCTTGGTGGGTGCAACAGATTAGGATGCAGCACTGCAAGCTAGCTACAGCCACTTCCAGGTGACTTTGCTCCTTGGCCCCAGAGGTGACCCACATGGCAAGGCAGACCTCTCCTGACCCGCCCGCTGCTCCCCTCAGCAGTGTGCTTCATCAGTCAGCCTGTTCTGCTCCCCCCTCTGTCTCTGGTGAAGCCTCTCACTGCCCCTGCACCTCTGGCTTGTACCCCAGCTTTATATGCATAAGTAAATCTTTTTTTTTTTTTTTAAAGAAAGTTGTTTTGATAACCCAAGTGGAATAAAGACCACAGCGTTGTTTTAAGATTATAGAGCTACTAGTATGCCTGTGAGGTGCTCCCACAGCTGGGAGAGGCCACCCTGGGTCAGGGTGCAGACAATTTCTTGTCTCCTCGTCACTAGGCAGGAAGAACTTAGCTTTACATGGAGAGTTCAGCTCCGATGCTTGGGCACACAGAGATCATGGCTGTTTCCCTCTTCCGCTGGAAAGCTCCAGCCCCTAGTCCCAGTCATCTCTGTATCCCCTGACATTAGCCAGGCATCTCTGTAGCCACTGACATTAGCTCCCATTCACCTATTTACTATGAGTTTATTTATGCATTTTTGGTACCTCTGAATTTTGTTAGTTTCACTCTGTTATCATTTAAAACATTTCCTTTTATAGTATATTCAATACTTTCATGTGTCTGAGATGAAAGAAAAAGGTTTCCATGCCAGTTCAAATTACAAGATTGCCCAGATTGACTCAATGTGTACTGACTACAAAGGAAGCCAAGGACTGGAAGACAGTTCAAAATGACATAAATAATTCAGTATTTAATGTTCATTACTTTAAAAATATTCCTATAAAATTGCTTAGGTTGCTACTGTTAAAAAGATCTAATCAATCATTTAAATCCAACAGGGAGTACCAACCCAAGTAAACTAACACACTTGTGAAACACCAGGGGCTTCTCTAAATACCTGATATCATAATACAGGTGTCTTTTGAACGCCTCTTCATAGCCTTGTAAGCAGCATCAGCAATAGCAAAAAGATGAGGAGGCCTCTCATACAGCTCACGTCCTTTATACTGCTCAATTGTGTCTTTCTCATAGATGTTTAATGGCTTGTAAGGATTCACAGAAACCACAACTTCTCCAATGAAAGTGTAGATGCGCCCTTTCTCAAATCTATGCAGAAGAGGAGAAGAAGCCATGGTTAGATGACACAGAAACATTATTTGTTACCCACGGGTCTTTTAGGAAATCCCACTATCACAGAACAATTTCTGAACTGACACTCCACTGTTCAGACTTCACTTTTAAGAGACAATGCTTGAGGTTGCACCCCCTTCAGATGCTGCTGGCAGAAAAGAACAATAGGAGTTAAAAGTCAAGAAAAAAAAGTTAATTTTTTTGGGGTGGTTTAGGGATGTCCTATTTCCAAAATGGTAGGAAAATGTATGTGTGTGTGTGTGTGTGTGTGCACGTAGATAAAAATAGTTGAAGCCAGTGTACTGGACTATGGTGATGGCACATGGGTGACTTGGTGATGGGAAACACACGGGGATTACAATTGAGATGAAAAAAAAATGTACAAAATGATGTAAAAATAAACTATAGTATAAAAAACAAAATAAAAAACATTAAAACAAATAAACAAACAAAAAAATAGTTGAAGCCAACCTAAGAATTCTAGAAGAAAAGGAAACTGAAGGTAATACAGGTCTTGACATCCACTTAGCCAGATTTTCCATTACAGAGAAGACTGTCTAAATACATTTATTTCTTCTTCCTCTTGAAACCCCACTTTAATCTCAGGAAAGGAATACACAGTTAAATTCATATCAGAGAGAATGTCTGAAGAAACACTTCTAGTATAAATCAAATTCATTTTTAAAATTCTTAAAATTTCATTTGGTTGCTATACCATTACTTAATCATTCCCCTTCCTTCTTGCTGTTGTAAACAATACTACAGAAAATACTTCAGGCACAAAATCGAACAAATCAACACTTTTATGTCTGTGGGACAGATTTCTAGGAATGAGATAGCTGGTTAGGAGGCATGAATATTTTTAAAGGTAATATGATCCCACCTCTTCCTTATAGAAAGACAAAAAAGTCATCCCTTATGTAATTTCTATGTATAGCTGTATGCATATATATATTTTACAAATGGACACACAGAATGGGAAAAAATACAAAAGAACACATTATGTTTTATAGATCTTTTGTACATTGATTATACAATATGATGATGAGAAGGCAGCCATGAGGGTGGTTCAAAGGAGCGTCAGGAACAAATTACAAAGGAGCAAGAAATCCTAGCATGTATGATACAGCTAGAAAACAAAGTCTAGAAACCCATCTATACTCACTCTTCACCTATGAACACACATGTTAGCCTCTGAAGGAGTGCTAGGCCAATACCCAGATGGATGCTTCTACACAAGTGGCTGCCACCCACACTTCACCTGCCAAGAGGCACAGGTAGACATGGAGCTCTCGGTTAAGGGCTGAAGGGAGTGCCCCAGCACTCAGGAAGCATAGCCCAGGTACAGAGAACTCTTGCTGTGGGGTCCAAGGTGGAGGCAGCAAAATAACTAAGCATTTGGGAACAAAGGCAACAACCTGAAACTTCCTTTACACTGTCTTAAAGGCTGCCAGCTACAATTTGGAGTGGAAACAACCATGCTGGTATGTCAGCAATAAACAAAGGAGGCCTTCCTGGTTAAATCTCAGCACCAAATCTCAGCACCGTCTCTGCTAGGGCCTAGTTAAATCCCCAGCTAGGGAGGTGACCCACAAGGCACAGCAGACTTCTCTTGTCTCACCCACTGCTCCCCTTAGTTGTGTATTTCAGTAAAGCCACTTGTTCTGCTCTGCATTCTGTCTCCAGTGAATTCTCTTACCCTCACATCTTTGACCTACACCCCACTTCTTCTATGCAAAAATAACAAAGAAAATATATATAATAAAGGACAAGAGTTTTGTCAAGAAGTTACTACCTATTTAAATAAATGCACCATTTTCTGTGCATTTTTCTACAGTGGTTTTCCTATGGGATCTTCCTGTTGTTAGAAAGTTTTTGTGGTAGCTAAAAACACCAATTCTGGAGTCCTTTACAGCTGGGTGCAAAGGCTCACAGTGCAAACTTAACAATGGTAAAGCCTTGTGAAACCTACTGAAGCTCCATGTGTTGCAGCTGCTTAATCCATAAAATGGAGGTAATTATACCCTTCTCTCCCTCTGGCACTGAGTATTTAAAAAAAAAAAAGGCAATTAATCTTTTGCTTCCAATTATTTACCACATGAAGGAGATGTCTAATAAATGCTTTTATTTTATTAACATTGCTACTTACATCACAGCAATCACGACACACAAGGAATTAACTCAATGGTCATAGGCTGATTCCCTGCCTCTGCTGTCAATCAACCACAAGTTACAAGCAAAATGTCTATATGACACATGCTCAAAGACCCACAGAAATAACACAAACTTAAGGATTACTATCCAAGATTTTTCTGGCTTAACCTGCAAATTTGCATGACATGCTCAATAACTACCTTCAAGGATAATAATGGAAAGGACAAGGCTTTTTTGTTTGTTTTACCAACCACTGACCAAATGGCAGCAAAAAAGAGAAGGGTGTTAGGGGAAAAAAAAAATCTCATGAGTCTGGAACTCTGTGGCAAAGAAACATACCATATAACACATATAAATAGAAGTGTTGTGTGTATAACCAGGTCTAACCACGTGTTTCGTTTGAAACTCAAATAGAATTTCAAATAGAATGCTTCATCAAAACTACTAAACCTTGTTTGTAAAACTCTTAGATGTATAAAATTATCAACTGCATGCCTATTAATTTGAAGACAGTGCAAAGGTTCAACAAAAGTTCAAAGGAACCAAATAAAATGCAATGCATCATCAATTTACAATATGCCAGAAATTTATCTTGAAACTCAGCTTATTTACCAGAGGCAATTTCCAATCATATTAGATTCTATGATTACCACTAGGTGGTGCCATATACACTTTAAAAGCAACTCAAGATTCCAACTCACTTGGAAAAGTCATAGTGGGTGAAGAAAGTACCCTAGGCTTGGTTTGCCTCCAGAAGGAACTGCAGTAATGATCCTAAGTGATAAATGGAGTGATGCCATCTCTTACAAGAGGTTAAAGAATTCATTTTTAGGTCTATGTGTGCAAAACTTATATGACAAACTGATAATTCTTCAAATATTCAACATGTACTTTGTGCTCGATAGAGGGCCTGATTGGGGATCAAAAAAAAAAAAAATGAAAGAACAAGGAAACCCAGTAAATAAATAACAAAACAGTATGACAGATGAAATAATAATAAAAGCATATACTGTGGTAGCCAGGATGACACAACAAAGCCCTTTGAACGAGGAACCCTGAGGAGTAACACACTCCCCAGCGGCGCTCACAAGCTCTTCTGTATTCTGGCCTCCACACCGCTCTTCACTTGATTTACCTACCTATCTACCTACAACACCCTCACCCATCAAAAGCTCTTCACCTCTTCACTCCTGGGAGCTCACTCCTGCTCTCACTGTAACCAGCTATTTAAAGTCCTGGAAGGGCAGAGTGCTTTCATGGCTTGCTGGTGGGGTGGGGGCTAGTCTGCTTCAAAGACCCTTCCCCCCCCAGTTCCTTCTTGCCCCACCTGCTTGGTAGAGTCTCACTCCTGTCCTTCAAAAACAGAGACCTCAGCTCCTTTAGAAAGCCATTGTTTCCACCTCTCCCAAAGTTTATTTGAGATGGTTAGATTTTAAGTGCACCCTTGAGACTTCTAAGTTAGGTTCATCTAGTAGAATTCAGTTATCATTGACTGACACAAGGAATCAATTATAATCAGGAGAGGTTTTCTCTGCACACCACACCACCAAGTAATGTTCTGGACACCAGATGGGTGTCCTACCATTCAACTCAATTCTGATACTGTCAAGATAGCATCAGTGTCCACAAGCCAAGAGTTCAGTCTTACAAGGCAAAGAACAATCTTTAGGTGCCAACGGCAAGTCCAGGTTATCACTTGTGCTCTGAATGACCAGCTACTGATTCAGGTTCTCACCACCCCCTCCTTGGAATTCAGATACAAGACCCAGAGCTAGAGTCAATCACAAAATTCCGAGAAATATTTTACTTACGAGATTAGTGGTTTATTATAAACAGATTTAATTGAGGAACAGCCAAATGGAAGATGTTCAGGGCAAGGCACGTGGGAGGGGCATGCCCCCCACCCCCACCCTGTCCTCTCCAGGCACACCACTCCCCCTGCTTCTACCTGCTCACCAATGCAGAAGCTCTCTAGACCCAGTCCTTTCCGCTTTTAAATGGAGACTTCATTCCACAGGCCTGATGGTTTAATTCACAAGCCATTGGCAGTTGATTCATACTCTGTAGTCTCTCTCCCCTGGAGTTTGGGAAGTTGGGGGGGTGGGAGGGGGTAGATCTAAAGTTCTACCCTTGAATTTCATAGTTGGTTCTCCAGGCACCCAGCACCTATCCTAAAATGGGGGTTCAAAAGGTACCTCATTAACATGACAAAACACACCTTAATTGGGCTCATCCTTTAGGAAAATTCTAAGGATTTTAGATGATCTGTGCCAACAAATGGGACAAAGATCAAGCACATATTTTCTCAGTGTAAGTCACAGCATCACCTACTTCTGCAGTCATAATAATTGTGTAGTCAATAGTCAATATGTAGCGATAATCTGCTTCTGCAGCCATAATCAATGTGTAGTTGTTAAGAGGGCCCAATTCAACGTTGACTGGTGCCCTTATGTGAACAAGACAGTGCCCTGTGAATACAGAGGTGGGCAAGGAGGACACCATGTGGTGACAGGCAGCCTGGGACAAACCCAGATGTGCCAAAATTCGAGGGCCATCACCAGAAAGTAGAAGGATTTGCCTCCGACAGGTTTCAAAGTGCTGACATCTTGACTTGAACTTCTAGGCTTCAGAAATGTGAGACAATAAATGTCTGCTGTTTAAGCTCCCTAGTTTATGGTAATTTGTCATAGCATCTTTAGGAAATGCATACAAGTAATTATACCAAAATAAACTCAATAAAAACATAACTCTATCTCACGTTCAAAGAGACACAAATAAAACTGAAAACATGATATACATTTTCACCTACAGATCAGGAGTCT